GGCCGACGCAGCCCGACGCGATTTGTTGTCGCGTCGGGTCTGTGTGAGTTAACGCAGACGCGATGGTGTGCGTCGGGGGCAGTCGCGTAGTAGAATATTAAACGTGTTTAATATTTCTCACGACGGCTTAGGACTGTCCCCGACGATAAATCGGATCGGGCTGCGTCGGCCGACGCTGTCTGAGTTGGCCTTAATGGTACAGAATCAAAACGTAAAAAAAAATGAAATCAAAATTAAAACAGGAATTACAAAAATCAAGTAAAAAATAAGAAAAAGCACCAAAATCATGAACATATGTGTGTGTATCCATACACCCATATACACATGCACATACACAATACATATACACGCACACACACACACTCATGCATACATATCATGTGTGTGTATGTACACATACAGACACACCCACATATATTCGCACATACTTGCATAACTCATAAAGAAAACAAAAATTAGTGACAGATAGCTTTACTTGGCAAAAGTAGGAGACCGACGCTGAGGGCAGCATCACGCTACAACTTACTTGCTAATGAAATATATAACGGTAATAACAGCTCTGAGGATTTTAAATCACCCCATGAACAAAAGCAAGAAGGAAATGAATTTAGAGGGCGCACAACCAATATCATTGTATGTATCTAAAACTAATGCTATATGCTGATGATGCAGCACTTATGGTATCTAACAAAGATGTTGGTTAATCAACTAAATTAAGAAATGAACTCCATTCACTAAATCAATGGCTAATTGATAATAAGTTAACTATAATTTGGCTAAGACTGAATCAATCTTCTTTGGTACTAGACATAGGCCTATGTGTAAAAAACAATCCAATATTATGGACATTCACCTGTAATGATGTTTTATTGAAGTAATCAACAGTTATCGGGCAGAGACATTGGGACGAAAGTCATCCGAAAAATGCACTGTGCTCTTAAGTTATAGAAATAAAAAAATTCTTCTTTGACTCAATGCCACTATGATTATGGATGTTGCATTCCGGGTACTCTGGCCTTGATAAAAGCAACCAAAATTAAACTTCAGACATCCCAAAACATAATTATTAGATGTAGGCCTATCTTCGACCTCGTACACATGTTGGTTATAATGAATTCTCCAAATTAAATTGGTTGCCAATTGATCTCAGTGTTAAGGAACGTAAAGTGTATCATATATACAAGATTATTAACGATATTTCCCCTGTTCATTTACATTCCGGTATTCCTATGGCTAACCAAACACATAATTACAATACCAGTTTTGCTACCGACATAATTCATTATAAGTTCCTAAATCTGGTCGACAAAGCCGCATCACATTAATTGAAACTGGGATAAATGAATGGAATAGTTTGCCAT